ATTTTTGAATTGAAAGCAAAACTTTGCAAAAATTACCTTCGAGTAACTTTAGTGTATATTAGTTTTTAACTTTATATATTTGCGTGGTCTAACTTATTTATTGAAAAGTGTTGAGTTTGTTTGAATAACTCGCTGAAAGTTTTATTGTGATTATTTTCAAATTGTTCAAAATTTGTTTTTTGCTCAGAAATATATTTTTTTAAAATGTATTTTTGCCCAAATATCGCGCTAAAGTATGTGATCTCTTCTTATTTGACAGTTTGTATATTATTTGTTGATAATTAAAGTGTTAGTCACTGAAAATAACAAACATCGAGCAGTTATTGTAGAAATTACTGAGGTTTATGTCAGATTCTTAAAGCAGCAATTTCAGTTGTTGATTGTATGCTAGAAACTGCAGAAAAACATCATGAGACTTCTAGTCTTTGCAATGAAGAATCTTCAGCAAAAACAATATTTATATCTGCTACCATACAGTGCTACTAGTTTAAAATTGTTTTCGATCCTAATATTTTGGCTCAACTAATTTTGATGCTGATGGAACGATTTCAAGATCAGTCCAGAATGCACTGCTAAAATTTTATACCATTAGAAGATTCATTGTGTTGCTACACACTACATCATATGAGCTTTTAAAAATTAAGGGTCAAAATCAATTATACTGAACTAGCTTTGAAATAAGTATTCACATTGTTTAAGCCGCAAGAGGTCAGAGCAAAGTTTGCCAGTTAGCATAATAGAAATTCGCGCTTTGTTTAGTTTTTGAATTTTTCTACAAAACGGCAGTCGAGCCATAAATTAAATTAAATTGAAATATATTTCGATTTATTTGAATAACATGGCATTAGTTAGTATGACAGCCAAAGTATGCGACTTGAACCTTTACGTTACTTTCTGCGTCTACACAATCTTAGCATTTGAATTTACAATTTGTACAAATTGATAATAACACAGGTTAAAAAAACACCTTATTACTGTTGAAACTATTGGTAAAATTTAAGTTAGTAAAAATACTTCATTATCATAAGGATTATGATCACGTAGTCAACGATAAAAATCTGCAACTTTGATTGTTTTAAAGTTAAAATTCAAAATCAACTTCGCTATTTTACAGGTCAAAAGTCAAAGAGCGTCTTAAACTTGTTCTTCACTTAATTAAAGATTGCGGAAGACAGACATCAAATCATTACAATAATTTAATTTTCATTGTATATTATATAGAGATATTAGATCATGGTTGTCACAAGGCGAGATGGCCGAGCGGTCTAAGGCGCTGGTTTAAGGCACCAGTCTCTTCGGAGGCGTGGGTTCGAATCCCACTCTCGTCACATACATCCATTTTGCAAAATAATGGTGTGATAGTTCTCAGATACTTTTGAGAAATGGTTGTAAATACTATAATTATATGAGAATGGTAAACAAGTTATGAAAATTGTAATACTGTGGTGTAGGTTATATGATCAGTTTTGTTAATTACATAACGTATAGAATATACAAAGTAAATCAATCAGTTTATGGTTTGTATTCTCATATATTATTGTTTTGAACATTCGTATCCAAGTTCCTTCTTGATTTATACAAACTTTAGAAGAATTACGTGGATGGAAGATTAATAAATGACACATAATTAGTTTTAAGCTAGACATCACGTGAAATCAAGTCATTTTAGAGCATTACTTTGATTGATTTGTTGTTGCAGCAATCTTGCTATTCTAAAGGATTTTATTTCCTCTTTAAGAAATTAAATTACTTCATGCGCATAATTTCAACCACAAAATTTGCATAAATCGTAGAACTATGTTTGTTTACAGCACTCACGAATAATTAATTTGTTATTTGCTATCAAGTAAACTAATCAAATCAAAGTTTATATCAGAAATTAGAAATTAAAAACAATCATACTATGACAGTATTAGTCAACATATTTTCAAGTGTGATATATTCAGTAATACTGTAAAACAAATCAAACACTTTCTTTTTTACAAGCACATCATATATCTGTATATCTGTATTCTGATCACTAGAATTAAAATGCGCAAACATGCCATACGTCAATTACACAATTTTTTATACATACATACTTTGATTATAGTAATTGTACTACATGAACAATCAGAAATATTTCTGATACTTTTTACTATTGTAAGAAATTTTTGGCTCACTTAACATTTCGATGATTCAAGCTAAATTCTTTTAATTCAGCTTTTAACATTTTCTCCATTTCATATCCAAATCGAATCTGATTTGATATAAATTGACCCAATATACTCCAAGCCGAAACATTCACCGACAGCTGCCAAATAAGGTCAAGTTAAGAATTGATTGGAAGATAATATATAACTAATCATCAAATACTCTGAAAACTTTTAATTAAATCAATTATCGATGATCACTGATGGATGTATGCTTACCTCTCTTATGGAATTGTCATCATTATCGTTTTTTGAGAAACTAGCAGCCGTTGTGGTTTTCTTCGAGGACATAGCTGCAAATACATGCTTTTTATCTTTATTTTATACATATTATTGATGAAAAAATATAAAAAATTTGATTATGTTACTGAGAATAATACGTTGTTGTTAGCATTCTGAATTACAATCAGAATATTAATGCTAATTTTCTAACTAGCATTAACCAATTGTTATGAACATTGCGTAGTTTAAATTCATATCAATTAAAGTTATTTCATTCATAATTAACATAAAGACTACAGTCAAGTTTGTTATATTAGTTGCAAGCAACTTCTTATAGCCAATAACAATCTCAAAGAATATGCAAATTAACCTTTAAATAGTTGTTCGTTGAAAAATTCTGTTGCAGTTGACGTGATTGCTGCAGAAAGTTTATCCCAGTAACTGTGCGGAATATGCGTTTCTGCTCCACCGTACGTGCAGTCATTACGATTTGCGTAAGCGGCGCCAAATTCTTGTAACCGATCAGCTGCCACCACTGGTTCCGTTAAATTGTGCATACAATGTGATAAAGTATGCGTGAAAAGCTAAAAGCACTATTTTTTATTCTATTTAAACTTTGATGATAATAAGCTTAAATATGACGAAGGCTTTGAATTTTGCATCGCACTGCGAGAATAATAGTTATGAAGCAGTGGAATCTATTTATTTACTTTACTGTTTGCTTAAAATTTTAGCATTTATTTTAGTTTTTTCATTAAGCATTTATCTTCTTCTAAATTTATTGCATTTCTGTTTATTTGATTTTATTTTTTATTTTACTTTCCAGAAATTCGATGTGTAATCATTTAGAGGTTCAAAGAACAGCGAGTAATTTTTGGAAACAAAATTTGATTTGCTTGCGTTTGCCTTTTTTTGTAGATAGAAACTTGCCATCTATGAACAGCGATTACTTTCAAGCAATCAGAATTAGATATCGTAATAAATAAGCAAGTCATAGCCATTAGTCGTTGTTATAATCTAATTTTGTGTGCTTTGCTAATAACATAATGAATGATGTTACTAATTAAGTTTGATAGAATAATACGAAAATATTGGAAAAAGTCATGTGATCATGTGACTTAGAAGTAATTGTGATTCTTAAAGCTTTTAAAAAAATATAATAAATATTGTTGATTTCAGAGAATAATGATTGTTTTTAGGAAAGATAGTCATTCTGATGTGATATCACAAGCAGCAAAATGATTATGATGACCAAATGCTTCCTTACATTACTTACAACCATTAATATTGGATATTGCAGTAAGTTTTATATTCCTTTCAAATGTATGTGTATCTTTTTTAAAAATTTTTTACATTTTTATTATTGATTTTTCAAAGTATGATTATTTACTTTTTAGCTTTTTTGTCAAATTTTAGCCCGTTTTGTGGTATTGTTTTTATTTTATCTTACTAAATACTTTAATTTATTAAAAACTATAGGAAAAATTAAGGTAAATGGAGAAAATTTGAATATTTGTTTATTTTATTTGTTTTAAAAGAGTTATACAAAAAACTTTTTGGTCTAAAAAGTTACTGAGTTCAAATATGAGTTATCGTATTTATGAAAATTAAAAACTGAACAATTTAAAATAAAAAGTATATTAAAAAAATGAAGAAAAATTGAATTAACTTGGCCAAATTAAACTTTTATGAGACATACTTCCTTGGTTCCTTCTTAGTCCGAGTTATTTTTCTAAAAGCTTTCTTTTCATATTTTTATATTTCTAATTCTTAATATTTTTTACCAAGGCTTAGCACTGATTTGAATCTCTGAACTTCGCAAGAGAGAAACTAAAATGCAATTTTATGATAATAATTTAAAAAATGAACTGAAATGAAAAAATAATGAGACAATGTATAGTTTCTTTAATTCTTTGGAAATATTTTTTCAAACTTAAAAAGCTTCTTAAATCATTCATGTACCTAAAAGTTTTGACTTTAATCCCAATATCATTTTTAATTTATAATTTTTTAAATGCTTTTCAATTTTGTGATGTAAATTTATTTCACGAGAAGTACACTTTTTTAATGAATTCCGCATACTTTCATTGATGGATGGATGATTCAAGCTTTGAAATGACTTTTTTCAGAGCTAAATTGTTTCTCATTTTAAATCTCAATTATGCAAGTAATTTGAATTTATTAAAAAAACTTTGAAATGTTATTAAAAGTAAGACAAAATTATACTATTACTGTATTATTCAGTATTATTGCTGATATAATTATCATTGTTACTTTGTTATTAATATTTCAATGGTGAATTTTGTTTGATTCTTCGTTTAGTTTTCAGTAACGTTAAGAGAAATGGCTCAATTTCAAGATGAGAATCGCACTCCTCTAGCATCATGGCAAAATTACCCATTACCTTTAGGAGAATTGGATTCTAAAGGTGAAATTGGTGCAGTCGGTGATAAACCGATCAAAGACCACGCTGGAAGTAATCCATTTATTGATGATAATGGTGTACCTATAGCGGATTACCTCTGAGTGATTGGTCATTGTTTTATTCACGTAAGGGTGTAGACAAGTAAACGATCAATAAAGTCATATGTGTTATCATTTTTTATGCTAATTAAAAAAATGCTAATTAAAAATTTTTGTATTAAAAATTTATATTTTAATTTTTAAAATCTATACAGTGTATATTAAGATCAAAACACCTTTAAAAAATTTACGTGGTTTGAAAAAATAAGGCATTTTTTATGTTTCTGTATATCTGAATACAAGTTTTTGAAGTTTTAAATTCTAATGCTCGTCTTTTTCAAACATATGCGTCATCTGTATATTTCTATTATCTTTACGTGATATTTATTTAAAATGCTAATTCTAGTTTTGATCTATTAATACATGTATTATTATTATCACTGTTATGCTTTAAACGGAATTACCGCTGATTGATAATATGCTAAATATTGCTTCAGAAACAAATACCATTATGTTTTTTTAGAAGAAAAAATCTTATAAGTTCTTATCATTATCACATTATTATGATTAACATTGAATAATTGAAATACTTTAGCAAAAATGATAAAAATAACCTGCGCATGTTTGTGAAAATTAGCATGTTCGCGCCATTCATCGGTGTTCTGAAGTTGTTTCAAATTAATAATTACTAACAAATTTGGGTCTCGCTCAAAAATAAGCTCGAAAACTCGCTTGCCAAGATCAATTACAAAACTAGTCTGTAAGTGACGCCAAGTTGTTGATAGTAGCAACTTCTGATGGACTGTTAGACCAGTAATCTTGCAAATATACGATTCTATGCGGCATCCATCCATGAAAAAGTTGAAAATTATTTGATTTAAAATTTTTTCAAATTATTTAATTCAATATAACATTTAAAGCAAAGTAATAAATATAAAAAAATTGAGGGGTCAGCCAATGCATATATCATTTTTCTATTTGGGAAATTTAAAAATTGGAATTTGATAAATCTAAATTCAAAATTACCAATTCATGTGAATTACTTAAAAACTTGTCCAAATTTATTTCCACTCTTCTGTAAACATTTAAAAATCAGAATCTAACATGATCAAGCAATCAAATATTGATTTTAGTTTTAACTTAAAGTTTACATATGAATTTATCATATTATATTGGCCGCATAAAAATATAATAATAAAATGACCCCTGAATTGCTTAAGTTGAAATGTATTAATTAGAAATAGTTTGTAGAATATACTTTTATTATGAATTAATTTTTAATAATTGAGATATAAATTTTGCAAAAATTTTCAAATTTATTTAATAACCTTGATTGCCTTGAAATATTACGCAGTGATTTAGTCCGATACTTGTTAATGCTTGTAGCATATGGTTCCATTTCATCGCATTCTCTACGAAAGCTCGATAATTTGCGAGAACTGAATAATTATGCAAATTTTTGATCGGCCATAGATTTTTTTTGCAAAAAATTGCAAATAGTATTAAAAATTTTTGCCAACTTTCTTTGTATTTAATCATTTTAAAAATTATCTAGTATTTTGTCATTACTTATTTGTTATTTTCCTTCCAGATTTGGAATAGCAAATGTGTAATCTCAATTCGCTTCCAAAAAAACAAAGTTTAAAACTTAATTAATTTTAAGACAGAAAATAAACTCAGTTTTTGAAATTTGTAATTAAATATAAGTTTGTTTTTGACATCAAAAATAATGCGATTTTTATCAAAAATAAAAGATTAGTACTAAAGAATAAGCATAACAACTTACGATTTTCGATTATTAAGCACACATTTTTGAAAAATTACTAAGCAACTAAACATCTTTTTTTGAAAACAATTTTAGCAAATAATTGCAACAAATTCAAAAATAAAATTTTCATAAAATATTTTGAAACAATTCCATAAATGCTTGATAATGTATAAATTATCAAAATATAAAGAATTTTATTTTCTATATGACTGATAATATTTTAATTGCTTAGCAATTTAAAGCAGTTTTAGTAGGTTATTCTTTGTCTCAAAGATTAACCGTGTTGCTGCTAATGCATTCGAATCTTTCTCATTGTAAAAATATGCGCTTTAAATTAGTTAATTAATTTAGTAATTAATTTCATGACATATTATTCTATTTTTTTCTACTGTTTTTGATTAAAAGTAAACAAATTTGTAATTTTCAATTTTGTGCAACAATAAATGATTACAATTTTGCAATTAATCAAAAAAAAGAATGCATAAATTAGTTAATAGAATTAATGATATAATAACGCAAAAGGACTTAGCACACAGCAGTAATCGTCAAATGAAAGTATAATTAAATACTTTGTTTTTTGATAGTTTATTTTTGTGCAACGAAAAAATTACTTAGATGAAAAGCAAAATGTGCCTTACTAAGCATTAACTCGTTTATTTTAATATACAGCCTTAATCATCAAAGTGGATTTCTTTTTCAGCTTAGAAAATTATAGTTTACAAACACATTGCGAACTTTCTATTAAAAAAAACTTAATGATTAACAAATTAAAGTATTCAAAATTTACTCTTAAAAGTCAATGAAAAGTATAGACAACAAAAATTACAAAGTCACAATATAAATTGTGGTAGTGGATCAAATTTTGCGAATTTGATCTTTTTTAAAAATAATCAATTGATTGATTATACCTCTGAGTATGATCGCTTGATTCACTTCGACCACGAAACGGTAGAATTCCATGAGGTGTTTCCTTACTCCATGAATGAGAATCTAATTTAGCTGAATGATGATAATGGGCTGATTCTCGATTTCCCATATCACTATCATGGATAATTCTAAAGATTCATTCACTGCAAAAAGCTAAACTAAAAATGATATCTGACAAGTTGAAGTTAAAGCATTTCATTCACTTAGAATTCATTAATAATTACTAATAAAGTTTTTAGTTGAACTTTTTTTAAAGTTCATTTTGGTTATTTTAAACAAGCATTCATATCACATTTTTGTCACAATTATTTACTGCTTTGCATAAAATGAACACAGTTTTTACTTAGTCAAAATGGATGTTTTATAAATAATATATATAACGAAAATACCATTAGATTTTAAATGCAAAAACGGATGCGTCAACAGCTAACAAAACTAATTTATCTCTTTCCCGTGACAAATTTTTTTTTATCTGATTACAAAGCTTAAAATTAACAAAATTATGATTTATTGGCAAAAATTTTACTAAGCTCATTTTCTAAATTTTCGTGCTTTTTTTGAAGTGAAAATGGTCTAAAAAAAGCTGAGCGGAGCAATAATTTTGACTACAAATAACGTTTATATTTATTTAAATTCTTAAAAAAGTAACTTAATTCTGATTAAAATTATCTGAAAAAACTTGCAGTTTATTAAAAAAATGCTAAAAAACTTGTACAGATTTTATTTAATATTAATCATAAATTAAACTCATATTTTTACTTATATTTCATTTACAAACAATTTATTAATGATGTTTTCAAGATTAAGACTATTTTTAAATTAATAAAATATTATTAATTTTGTAAGCATTAAAAAATATTGTTAGAAAATTTTAGTATTTAATGTTAAAAAAATTATATCTTGATTAATACTTAAAAAAACTGATGTAAAAATGAAGCATCAAAGTGAAGGAAATAAAATTAAGCCAAAACATTTTGAAAAAAGAAATAAGCTTTGAAAATGGAGTTATTAGTGAAGAAATGAAAATGAGCGATCGGATATTCAGAAAATGCTAATATATCTTGGCATATATTCTTTTTTTTCCGATTTTAAATATTTGCTTTGTGTACTTCGAACTTAACACAAAAAATGCCTTCTAAAGAAAAAAAAGCTACTATAAATAATTTTTTAAATTAACTAAAAAATTTTTAAGTTGGGATATAATTTGAATTCAATAAATTGAATACTCAAAAAGTATTGTCAGAAATTGCTTTAAAAGTATCAAAGGAATTTAATGAGTAATTCCTATTTATTCAGATATTGATCAAAATAGTTGGAAATATTTAACTTTATTTATGGGACTGATATAGACATTTACGGTATTCCTCTGATATTATATAATAAAAAGTTATATTGTAAATATAATATCAAGCGAATAAGTACAACGAAAGCATTAATAATTTTACTTAATAGATTAAATAAACAATAAATTTACATTAAGTAATTATTTTGAGTATTTGAGTAATGGCTTTCAAGCAATGAAGATTTGAGCACATAAGCAATGTTTGAAAATCATACAAATCAAATAATGAAATCTTTTACAAATTTGAATTTTATTGAAACTAATAATTTTAATATTTTCAGAACTTCTTATTGACAGCATATAATAGCACTTTCATATTTATTTATACTGATATCACAGTGTGCTAAGAATATACATTTTTTGAGTTATGTTTGATATTAGATACCAGAACAGTAATATAAATATAGGTATAAGTTAAATAAATAAAATCAATGACAATTTTTATTGCAATTATGGATACATAATCAGCTAATTTAATTTAAATTGACAAATAGTGGCGACTTTGTACATATCATTTCATTTTTCAATTTTCGCAAAAGTAAAAAATTCAATTCAGTTAAATTTATCGAAATTGACAGCATAATTGAAAAAGCTTAGGATACTTGAATATGCTTAAAATGTAATGATAAGAGTTACTAAAAATTTATGAATTTAAAAAAATTAAGCAAATAGATACTAATTTTTTTACTCGAGAAATGTATGAATTTATACAAATTTTGAAAATTTAAATTAGATTGATTGTAACTTTATTTGAAATTCATTTTCAAATTTACTCTCACAGCACCAAGTATGCACTTAAAGAAGAAGTAAGTATGAATAAAAAGCTTTTTACTTGTGAATTTACTTGAAATTTATTCATTCAACAGCAATATTCAGTTGATGAGTATAAGCTGCGTAAATCAACAAATTTAAATAGTATTCAGAAAAGTAAAAAGTTACGCTCCCGAAAATGATAGTAAACAAATTCAGTTTAAATTGATTTAAAATATATTGAGTTAAATACTGGTGTTTTTTAGTTAATTATTTTATTATGTAACAAAATTTGGATAACAACTTTTTAAAACATAAAAATTATAAGACACAAAGTATAGGAACTGAGAGAAGGACAGTTCTAAGTTAATCCAATATTTATAAAAAATGTTTGAATACTACAAAAATATTAACCATAATCTATTACCTATATTATCGAGAAAATTTGACTACCATTACAATGAGTAAATAAAATAGTTGTAAAACAAGTATGTAAGTAAGCATAAATGAAATATATTCTGGAAAAGTGAAAGACAGATTAAAAGCAATCCAAAAATGGCCATAGGTTTTCTTCTGGCCACAAAATGATAGCCAAGGCACTTTTTAGTTTAGTTTCAGGCTATTTTAGTTTATCTATCAATTCTCTTTTTTTTTGTTTTCTGTTCAAATTATTTTGTTGCAATCAATTTGTGTATTTTTATTTTCATGTTTAATTAGTGCTGGCAACAGAGTAGTGCGCAAAAATCAATCCCAAAATTGAAACAAGTAATTTGATTTAGTTTTTTCATTCAATTTTTTGAAAATTTACTTGTAAAAAGTAATAAAAATAGTAAATATTTAGCTAATAATAACAAGAACTAAATTATTCAATAATTACTTAAAAACAAATTACTTATAACTATTTGCTATTCTTCTCTAACTTTTTAATATTTAATAAATTTTGCTCAGAATAACCGCTACTTTGTTGCTTTCTTTAAGGTTTCAGAAAGTTTTTCGAATTAACTTTCATAAGCATTTATGGAACAAAATTTATTGCGAGTCAGCTTTAACGAATGTTTTCTCCAAAC